GTTCTGTTAAGATTCAGATCTCCTTTTCCCCCGAATTGAGCTGTTGGATTACGGTATGACACTACTCCGCTTTAACGTTCCGTCCCCATGTTGAGAATCCGGTCGCTGGTATGATACAATACGATACGATATATTATAATATCATACCACCTGCCGGGTGATACTATGATACTCGTCGCTCGCACCTGTTTCTTTTTTCCCAAACAGATATTTCCGGCACCGCGCCACCAAAAAAAAAAAACTCCAAATGGATTAGCTTACGGGTGATAATCCATGACCGAAAACCCGAGGTACCAGCGGTTTTTTCAACTATTCCCACCGCTACGGATCGAACACGCAGATACGCTCCCAGAAAACGTACAATCCCGAGCAAAGCGAATTAAAAGAGGGAAATGAGAGAAAGAAAAAAAGAAAAAAGAAAAAAAAAGACCGTTCACTCGCTCGCTCTCAGTTAACTTGACAATACCACCCCACTTCAAATACACTCCTCCCACACCTATCCCTCCTCCACCCTCCCCTTCTCCTTCCCCTCCGCCTTCAACGAGGCCTTCATCCCCGCCCCCGAACGCTTCTTCGGAATCGCGGGCAAAGACCTCTCGGGCGCGGGCGTGGAAAGGTCGAACATAATCTCGAAACGTGACGGTGCGGTCTTCGGCGGTAGTGCTGCTGGCGGCTGCACTTCCGATACCTGATTCGCGCTTAGTTCACCATCTGCTGATGACGATGAAGACGACGAGGACGACGATGACGATGATGCTTGTGTTCCGCGGCGATGGCGGTGATAGGCTGTGGGAGGGTTGGTTGGCAGTTAGCTCATAGTTCCGGAAGAAGAAGGCGGGTGAGTGGGGGAGGGGGGAGGGGACTTTGGAGGAGGGGTGGAAGGGATTGGCGGGAGGTCGAGGCGAATAGGCGATCGGTTGTGTCGGGACAGTTGAGGAAGAAGGGGCTCATTTTTATTTTTATTCTTTTTTCCTTCGCTCGTACTAATCGGTGAAAGGTATTGGGAGAGGGGAGTGGGGACGGAAGTGAGGGGGATAGTAATGATGGTTGTGTCGCTGGTCATGGATACGCACTCGAATATTTATTCGTCCATGGGTGGTGGTGGTGGGGCAAGGGCGCGCCTAGAAAGGTGTATGTGATACGGGACATCTGTACGGCAATCGGAGTTCTTTGCGGAGAATACGATAAATTGCTCAACTTCAACTGCCAAAGGGGTTTTCGATCACCACTCCGATGGCGGCTACAGTTCTGTTGGGTGGTGGAGCGCGTGATCTCTCAACACATCGGTTAGAGAGAACATTGGAACATCTCAAGTTTTCGTCGAGATATTGGGGTTCGGAAGGAGGTCAAACTCTTTGTATTATGAGAGCAGGGGAATGTCCAGGACATGTCCAATTGCCGTATCGTACCAGGTGCTGCCAACTTCCTCGGCAAAGCAGTTGATAAGATACCGTATGATATTTACCAAAAGGTTTGAGTAATGAGCCCAAGCCTAGCAATTCAGCATACCATTACTAAGCCGGAATGGGTGCCCGCCTGTTCCGGCTACAGAGGTCCTTCACCATACTACTTTGGAAACTATACACGAATTGGTATCCCAAGGCAGACTGTCGGATTCTATAAAATGAAAATGAAAATGAACACCGCCCGAGAGAATCTAGGTTAATGTCCGAAAGCTTCCATATGAAGTGTCACGTTTCTGCCGGTGAGAGCATGACTTCTTACGGCATTCTTAACATCCTCCGCCATCAAATCCGGGCCGCACACCATGACTAGCACTCTCCCCTCTCTTCCTACGACCTCTCTCACAGCTCTCCGGACATCCGGCCTTCCAGAGCCGAATCTAAGTGGGGGAATGCTTAGCGCATCCCGAGGACTGCCCGCATCAAGGAGTTCCATCCCTTCTTCATCTCCGCATCCGCCTTCACCATTTCTATGCCCCCCCGTGATATAAACCTCAGCCAAAGCAACCCCATCACCAGCCCACAGTAAGTCACCCACTTTCGGAACAGCCCACAAAAACCTCGCATCAACACCGTTGGCCTTCAAATACCGTGCCCAAGGCAGAGTGAACGCCCCACCAATCCCTCCAGCAATAAGAAGCACTCTATCCACGCCGCCAACCAACTCCTTGCTGACCCCGTGCCCACCGTACCCACCTTCTATGTTTATAGGGACTTTGGTCAGCTTTGTCAATTTCTTCGTGAGGTTTCCTCGGACCCTCGCTACCATTCTCACGTGTCCGTTCCCAGACTCGACAACCGTGAAGGGGTTTTTTGTCCACAGCGATAGCGAGGGGACGTTAAGTAGGACGTGCGATCCCGCGGATGGGGGCGGTTTGTGCGGGAAGGAGACGGATATATCCAGGATTGAAGACTGGGGATCCAGAGATATCGTTGCAGTGGTGGACACGGTAAACATCACTCGAAGGACCCGGTCGACAATTAGCATCCCGACGGTGGGGATCATGTATGGGCGGGAGTGGCTGACATGGAAGTACAGAAGGGGTGGGAGGAGGACCGATAGGATGATGTGGAGGTTGTAGAAGACTGAGTAGAAGGATTTTCGGACGAGGGGGTGGGAGGAAGTTACCAGCATTGTCTTTGAAGGTCAGCTAAGCCCGGGACTGATGTGACGAGAGGGAATGAACCATGATGCCAAAAGCGCAGACACCGCAGAGGACGTCCGTTTCCAGCAAACGGGTCTTCATGCGGGAAGTATCCCAGAAGAACTTTAGGTACAAACAAGCATGCACGGTAAGGAGTAGGTACATCTGGTTTCCCAGCCATTGATGGACGACATTCACCGGTCCTTCGTAACTGCAATTCGGAAAAACTAGTTTCAATGGACTGTACTTCATTCCTAGAAGTACGTTCAGTGGAAGACTTGCTGCAGCTGCCATGCCGAATGCCTTTGTGAGGTGGAGATAGTCTACAATTTTACCCATCAGTTATTAACGTACCAAACTTTTACTCCTCTTTTTTATCCACAATCATCTAAGCTACATGACCCCCCGACTCGTATCCCCCAAATTTAACAAGTTCCAACGGCACTTACCATGATCAACATCCTTAACACAAAGCCACACCATCAACCCCGCCCACGACCAATAAACGACAGCTGCACCCACACTCTGCACCTTGCCCCTTATGGGAGTTTTACCTCCCAGGATGCGGTGCCTAAGTCGCCATTCCAACCTCCTGACAGCCCCACGCCTCAGAAAATTAGCGTAGATACAGACATACACCAATGCCGTTAGTTGTGAGAATAGCACCGAATATCCAATGAAATCGAGGGACTTCCGACGAAGCTCCTTCTGAGACTCGTTAAGGTCCTTGTACAGTAGTGGCCGAAGCATCATCGGCAGGTAAGGCCAAAACTTTCCAAATACCAGCTGAACCCGAGTCCGAGGATCGAATGAAAGGGGTGGTTGTGGTAATGCAGGATAGTTGCGATGGTGAGAGGGAAAAATAGGAGGTCAGTGTTATACGAGTACTAGTAGGGTGTTAATGATTAGTAAGGTTTCGGACGCGGTTAGTGACTTCCCGGGCTTTCAGGTATGTAAGGATCAACTGCAGCTCAAGGCTGAGCCAGAGCCGTGCACGGGAGTGCATGACTGATGATCGTTGTTAGGAGGAAACGATAGTGGGGAAGCCCCGTGAGGGGAAATGGATCTTGTATCATGATAAATACTGGGCCTCTTTCCACATTTCCTATTGTATAACCACATTCCGTCAATTCAACACCAACATAACCGCAACCAATCCCTCTCCGACAATGGCAGATACCAGGACCCGTATCTGGCTCGATTGTGACCCTGGTGAGTTGTAGACTCCTGTGTGATACCTATATTCAAGTAGTCATAAGTTGTTTGGATATCCTGCTGACGCATTACCCTCCAGGCCACGATGTATGTAATTGCACCTCTTGCCTCAACCACTTCAAAAAAAAAAAAAAGATCAATCTGCTGAAGCTGTCATTTAGGATGCGTTCGCCATGATCCTCGCTGCCGAGCACCCCAATGTTGAACTCATTGGTGTAAGGCCAAGGAAACCCAGCCAACGCCCTCTCTAGTGCAATCTCTAACAAGGCCAGATATCCACCGTTCATGGAAATTCCTCGATGGATAACGTAACTGCCAATGCACTCTCTCTACTCACAGCAATTGGAAGGACGGATGTCCCGGTGCACGCCGGATCCTGCAAACCCTTCGCGCGCCCTGCCGTCCATGCTCCAGATATCCACGGTAGCTCTGGTATCGATGGGACCACCTTGCTACCCGATTCAAAGGTCGCTATGAAACCAGGGAATGCCATTCTGGCCATGTACGAGGCTATCATGAAGACACCGTTTCAAACTTGTGCAATCGTGGCCACCGGAACCTTGACCAACGTTGCGTTATTGTTCGCCGCCTTTCCAGATGTAGTGGGACATATCCGATGCGTTTCCATCATGGGAGGAGCTTTTGGCGGGAGGGATGACGCCAAGGGAAACATTACCAAGTGGGCAGAATTCAACATCTATGTTGGCTACCCTTTCAGCTATCTTTTATCCATAGCATCTCGCTAACTCATGCTCCGTAGTGCGATCCCGAATCCGCCCAATCGATATTCTCCAACCCGGAGCTTTCTGGCCGGATAACACTAGTTCCCCTAGACTTGACACATACAGTCCTCGCGACCTCTGATATCCGAACCACGCTCATGACGACATCTCATCCCACTACCAAACTCCGCAAGATGCTTCACGATCTTCTCACTTTCTTCTCGAAGACGTATGCCGACGTTTTTGGAATCACTGCTGGCCCCCCGCTCCATGATCCCCTAGCCGTTGCGGCTATCATTCCTGGCGATGAAATCGAGTGGGATATGGAGGAGGTTCAAGTCGAGGTTGTCTGTCACGGCGAACAAACTGGACAGACAATCAAGACTCCAAGGGATCAAGCCCATGAGAAAGTCAGGGGAGAGGGACTAGGCAAAGCGGGTGTAAAGCCTGTGGCTTGGATTAAAGTTCCTCGAAGCGTTGCTGTTGACAACTTCTGGAAGGTTATGATGTCATGCGTCGAGAAGGCCGACGGAAGATATGATTGGGTATAGCAGTACCGTATCCTATGAATAACGGACTACTTTTAGTTGTATGTGACAAAAAAAGGGGGGGAACGTTAATGAGGTCTTTACAAAGGTTTATTTTTGGACGATAAAATAGCCAGGGGTGATGATCAATGACATAAAGACAGAGTGATTTCACATGATTTTGTTGTTCCTCGCTTCAGCAGAAAATCGAAGGCTGTTAGGCTCACACAAAACGGAATGATGCAACTTACGTATCCGCAGAAATCCCAACTTTCCAATAAACACGTTCAAACAATACAAACTTACATAATCTCTTACTAGGTGTTGTGCGTGGCCCCCTCCTCCGGGTGACTATAATGACTCTCGACCCATCTCCAAAGTCCAAACCCCCACAAACATTCCCACCTCTATAGTTCCCCCCCCCATGCTTCTCTCTCCTCCATTTCATGAGATCCACGAATTACGAGCGAGCATGATAATATCTCTCATCACATCTCCTCACTCGCGATCTCTCTCCCCCTGAATAAGCATAGCAACACCGCAAGGAACTGCGGCAACGAGTCCGGAGAAACACCCGGGTCCTAGTACCAGGCTCGATCTCTGTCGAAGCCATCCATTTTCGTCTCACTCTGGAACCAAGATTCTGCCCCTGATCCAGCATTACTTCCCGTCATGAGGCAAACAAGACTGGGCTGCGCTAACGTATCACACGTTTTTGAACCCACACATCCCCCGAAACACGCTACTCCTATGTATCCTGCGTGATCCGGGTGATTTTGCTTGTGAAGGGGACCAACGGTCAGCATTGTAGCACCTACAGCTTTATCCTACAGGACTCAATACGGGTGACGATGGTTAAAGCCCTACGGCTTTCCCTTGCTATACCACGCATTTGCGCGGCCTTATGCGACCCCTTGACATCTCACCAACTATGCTCTCAGTTCCAATAGTTAGTTTTAGTCTCAGAGCTACAGACATACAGACGACAATGGACCAATTATAGGGCTGGATAGAAAGAAAGGATTTGAGCCCCCACCGACTAATAGGAAACAGAACGCATGCCCGACTGCCCTGGAATTTTTAGGAGGTGCGATATAATGGGCTAGGATGGCCCTCGTCGGCCACCGCGTGACGAGAGACTAGGGCCGGAGGATCCTAGGCTGGGTTTATTCACGCCTGGTTTCCCAATCTGCTTAAAATATTTCCCAGCCAACCAATCCGTATACCCTACGTTCCACAGGCAGCGGGAGTGGATTCCTGGAGTATGGCTGATAATTGGACTACCTACCGCAAAGGTAATCCCTCACTGTTCGTATCGTCCGCGGGAAGGAAGATCAAGGTTGCTTTCAGCCACTAGCTACTACCGGGATTCAGGAGACTATCTTTACCCCATGGGGATTTGTCAAATATCACTTGCTTTGGAAAGCAGCTCAGATCGTGAAGGCACTCTCCATCCAGAGTTCTCTAAATCCTGCATTACGAAACCAGGTTTCAAGCCCGGGATATGGTACAACGTTTTTCTGGTACTATAGCTATTTGTCTTAACCTTACAACTCCCCATATATTAATACTCGACAAAAAGTGGAGTATTTTCCCGAATTTCTGCCATTTAGGACGGACTTTGAGGCGACACCTTTCTTCTGTCCCTTTTTCCGATCGATAATCATTCTTGAAAGAATCTGCGGTAAGCCCGTAGGAGACCACTATCTCTGAGGGCACGGTAACTTGCATTTTGTGGTTTTCTAGAATGACAACCGATGCAAGCATTAATATCCGGCGTCCCACACAACCCCAGTAGCTCGTTTTAAGTTTATGGTTCCTGCACAAAGGCCCATAGACGATAGTACACAGATGTCATCAAGTATTCCACCAAATTCAGCCATCGCAAAGTGGGATTAGTCCTGTTCAAATGGCCTCATCCAGAGATAAAGCTTCCCGCGGGCAGATGAGGGTAATCGCGTACAGATCAACAGAGAAAGCCCACGCATTCTTGGCTCCAAGGCCAAGATTGCCGCACATCCCCCACCCCTCCTCCGGATTCGGCATTGACTCGAGTGACGAGTAGTGATGAGCTTGTGAAAGCCGCGGACGAGGGGAAAGCCGAACCCGATCCAAACGTCTCTCCAAAGAGTGGCCCCCAGAAGCTAGGTCTCTGATATATTAGAAACCCCTCTTCACGGGTACAATATTCCGGAGCACAGATCCGGTATACATATTATGTCGAGTTTGTGTTTTTAGCTCTTTCTCGCCCATCGTGCAGTACTCGAGTACAGTGCTGTACAGTACACACGCTCTCATGTCAACCGCTGCACAACACAACCAGGTATACACGAACAAGAATTCCAGTATCACACAAACAACACAACTAAGATCCAACGACAGGATAGCCTCACGAGCCCAAGTTACGAACGGGCACAAAGGGCGTAGTCAAAAAAAAAAAAGGAAATAAAAAGGAATAAAAAGATAGGGAAATGCGGTCAGCGTCAGAGTACTCGAGTATCTATCAGTTTATGGACTTTTTTCTTTTCTTTTTTTCTTTTTTCCTTCAATTTATTCTAATCCAAGTTGATTATGGTATGCTGCCTTCTGTTTCACCTTGTACTCACTCACTCACCCACTCTCCTCATCATGTGATTAGCAAGATTATAGATGAATCCCAGGCATTACTGTAATCAGTAAGGCACTACAGACAGGAAGGGAGGAGAAAATAGTCACCGGTACCGAGTTGTCCTATTCGAGTGATTCTGGGTGAGCACGCTCTCCTACCGGTTCCCTTGTTATCCGCACCGTAGAGATTCCCCGCCAACCAACCAACAAGTCGCGTGGGGAGGGAGGGAGGGAGGTATTATACCTTTCTTTCCTTTCTCGTTCGTGTTCGTCCCTCCGATCCTCACGAGGGCCGGGTTGTTGTTGTATCGATATGATATGTACTGTACCGCCATGCGCCGCAGTTATGACACGCGTATTGTGCTGAACAGCTTGCGCAGGTACAGTGCAGTATCTGTACCGGTATCAATTTCCCTTTTTTTTCCTTTTTCTTTTCCTTTCCTTTCTTCCTTCCTTTTTACAAACATCCACCCAGTTACAAGCACGCGTACGGTATGGTAGCGGGGGTGGGAGAGGGGGGGGGCTGCTTGACTCGTAGAATCATCCCACTTCAGCTGCTACATTACGGTACCGTAGTATCAGAGGATGTCCCAACTTTGGATGGATGAATAACGGAGGTATTTCTCGACGAGGGGAGTTTGCGTGATGAATAGGGTATCATCATAGTAAGTAACTAAAGCTATATAATACGGGTACAGTACAATACAGTAAGAATACCGGTAAACTATATCCTACTTGTAGGAGCAGACTTGGGAAAAAAAAGAAAAAAGGAATATTCCCTCGATGAGGGTACCGGTACGGTACCGTACTGCATGATACTATCCTCATACCCGACCGATCGACCGACCGACCGACCGACCACCCATCCACGCTCACGCTCACTCATCGTCTCATAATCAGACGCGGGTGAGGCAGGCAATTAGCTGGTCTAGTCTAGTCTAGTCTAGTCCACCGTACGGGGTACCCGAGCACGATACAAGCACAGTAACAGTGCGGTACCGGTATCCCAAATCAACCTTACTGTCGGTAGGTTAGTAAGCGAAGCTACATCGTATGATATGACACGGTAATATGATCCCCACGAGCACCGTACCGAATCATATAGCAGTCATGGCGTCAAATCAACAGATCTGTTCCACTACCTTTTTTTTTTTTAAGTCAGTTAGAGTATCATACATACCGTACCGGTATAATAGTCTACCATAGTCCAAGCTAAAAAAACAATAATTAGAACGATAGGGTAGAAAACAAATCCCCAGTTCTCTGGTAAACCATATCATGCAAACATAGTCCACGGTATGATACTCTCTCCCTCCCACACACACACATACAAGTATGATATGATACCCGAGTTATGTATGATAATATGATACAATCCAGTAGCAAAATATTCAAGGTATGGTATGGTACAGTACCATACTTTGTGTACCATCCATCCATCCATCATACGGTACCGGTACGGTACGTAAATCCTTATATTATATTATAATATATATTTATATATCTGTATATTATATATATATATATAAACCTGAAACGAGCCCCCCCCCCCCCCCCCCATCCCCATCCCATCCCATCCCATCCCCCGAGAAAAATAAAATAAAAAAATTAAAAAAAATAGCCTACACACGGAGAGAAAAGAAGCCGAAGGAATGTTCTTTTCTTCTTCCTCTTTTGATTTTGCTTTCTGGGTCTTACTTACGGTACCTGCTCCTGGTCCTAGTCCTAACACTGTTACCGTATTGTGCTGTATTGTACTGTAACGAGTACGAGCACTCCTGGCAGGCAGGCAGACAGGCAAAAAGCGAGAAGTTCGAATGGAAGTGGGGTGGGTGGGGTGAGGTGAGGTGAGGTTAGGTGAGGTGGATGGAATGGATGGGTACGGAAGTGTGGCATGTATCGGGATTCTCTACGGGGGTGTGCAACTCCGTGCTTGTATACTCGTCACTTTTTTTTTTTTCTGGACTGTATTGTATTGTATTGAAAGCTGGGTTCGGGATTCCGGGGGTTCTCTCTCTCTCGTCTTTTTTTATTTTCTTATTTTATTTTATTTTATTTTTTTATTTATTTATTTTCTTTTGGGAGGGGAGGGGGAGGGGGGAGGGGGGGGGGAGGGAAGGGGAGAAAAAGGCTTGGAAGGAATAGTCTACGGATGCTGGTATTGTTCTGTATCATATCATACGGTAATTATACGTTCTCGAGAACTGTATCATACTCGGATATTATTATTTGTGCTGTGTGATGTTCTGGTACCGTACTGTACTCGTATGATGTTAATGTTAATGTTAATCTTGAGGTGGGTGGGTGGGTGGGTAAGTTTTATAACATGTATTTTGTTTTAATTCCATTTTGTGGGGTTATTCTTATTGTGTGTGATATGTATGTACGGTACCGTATGTGTTTACTTGGTTAGTTAGTTGCAGTGCTTGTGCTCGCTAGTTGCATGGTATCATAGTTAGTGTACAGTACGGTACGGTACTACACTCGCGCGAGCAGAGTACGAGTATGATGATACTGTAGGGTATTAATAGATGGCCATGGGACGAAAAAGCGAAAGAATGGGATGGTTTT